ATCACCTTCAGCTCAGCCATGGACGCCTGTGAGACTCTGTCATTGAGTACTTTGATAGGGTTTAGGGTTTTAGGGTTTTAGGGTTTAGGGTTTTAGGGTTTTAGGGGTTTAGGGGTTTAGGGTTACTATTTGGTTCTTACGTCCCCTTCAATTAAAGGGAGTTCATAAGGATATACTGTATCGGGATTTGGGGTTTCGGGTTTAGCTTTGGGGTTGCGAGTTACCAACGAATTAGGGAACTTACTTTTGAGATGTTACATTACAGTAGGCTTGTAAGAAATATGTTACCTAAGTCCAAGGGGTTCCTGGAAGTATGCTCTCGTGGAGATTCATTCCGTTGCACCGTTTAGGGTTTGGGGTTTAGGGAGGAAATCTTGCAGAAACTCATCTAGCCTAGACCCCAGGAATTAAATCTCCTATGGATGTAGGACTGCTTCTGTGAGCCGCTGGCAAAACTGCAATGCCAGGCCATTCAGGAAATCAAATCACCATAGCAAGGAAACCCTATGAAACCCCATTATTACCAGATACTTTGTCATGGTAAATTATAATTTATAGGCAAACAGGGGGACCGAGGAGAAGACCGGGCATTGGCAGCTGGCATTGCGCCTGTTTGAAGAGATGGGCATCCTCTCTTTAGAGGCATCTTTGAGAGAAAGCAACCGATTCAAGCGAAACGCAAGTACCTAGACCCTCCTCCTACCCTTTATTATAGGGCCTAAGTACCTACTATTAGGGACCATATATCCCCAATTAAGGGTACAAGGAGGGTCCTGGTATACACTAGTCATTGTAGTCACTAGCAGGAACGTAACTTGCTCAGAAAGATCCGGCATGCCGAATCTGCGAGCCCTAGACCCCGTGAATACTGCAACCCCCAAGCCTAGATGCATTGCCTAGCATACTGTCTTGTATCTTATAGTATATACATACACAGTATGTGAAGATGTATTAGAATGTACTGATTCATTCGGGGGTGCGGAATTTGCCGTGCCTTCAGTGCGATACGTTGCGAACCGGATTGTCTTAGTTTCTGCTTCGGCCATGCGAGTGTAGAAACCCATGAAACTCTGAACCCTGAAGCTGAAGCCTCTCAACCTCTTTAATTGGTAAGCCCTAAGCCAGAACCCTTGATCAGAGCTGCTGATACGTTCGGAGGCTTCCCTGGTAAGCTACAACATTGCCATCAGCTCCTGCGAAAGCGGCTCCCAGTGGCAGCAAGGCCTAACCCTGCTCCAGGACGCGCCTTACGATTCAGAGGGTAGGGTTTTGGGTACAGGCTCTAGATTCGAGAGGGTTGCTGAGAGGATGCAAAACGTTGAGGACGAAGATGTAGTTCGGGTCGAGGACTTCGCGTTTGGGGCTTAATCCACGCTCTTGGTTAATAAGGGCCGCCCTCCTTATTTGATAGCCTAGGGCCCAATATTTTAGGGATCTCAGATTCCAAGAGGGAAGGGTAAGGAACGAAAGTCAACCCAAATGAAATTCAAATTCATTGAAGTCAGCTGAACATCTACTGGGAATAGAAATTCATTTGCAAATGTTACTAAATTCTGCGTGAATTTCTATTTGAAGCAGCTGCAACTTAATTACATCGATTGATTTACAACCTTACTGATATCCATTGAAATCTGATGTGAACCGAAATAGACATAGAATTTAAGTCGAATCGAATGAAGTTTTAGTGGGTTCCAATATAACAAGGAAGTGAAACAAACTAATGATCTTGAATATTTGCTATTCTTCTAAGGCCAGAGATTTCCAACAATCTGAAGAAAGAGCCTTTCATGCTAGGTCCGTAAGCGGCAGCTCAGACAGCAACGTTTGAGACTTTAGTTCCTAATTGATTTTAGCAAGCGATTTAGGTCTCAGAATCAGCTCTCTTAGTTATTGGGGGCGTGAGGTTGAAAAATTTAAGAGCCTGAGAGTTTGAAATTGGACCTCAAACCTAAACCTTGCTGCTTTTAGGTCTGGTACTACTTTTTTGAAATCTAGGGGAATTTTTCGGCCTAAACTTACCTCCGCGTTTAGAGTTATCTTTGACTCCTCAATTTGGTCCCCCAAACATTTGCTTTGATTCTAGTGTTTAATTATTGATCAAGAGCACACATCCTTGCTTAGGACTGATGAGTGGGTTGACAGTTGAGGGCTGGTTTCAGCAAATCTTTGGATCTGGTTGGGTTTTTCAAAACTCATCAAACTTGCATATTGCACAAACGCTTCAAACTTGCATTTGTTGCAAGAGCGTGTTTTTTTTCTCTTTCTGTCAGCTGACCTCTCTAATCTTAGGGGTTCTAGTGAGATTTACCGTCGTAACGAGGGTAATTCACGAGAATCTAAGAGCATCGAGACCCTGACGGGCTAGATTCGGCTCCTCCTGCACACGCTCACAGCCCCAACACCCTACCAACACCCCCCACCACCATCACCATTGCTACCGCCATCTCCCCAAAACCCCATTACCCAAGACTTGCCGGGGGTTAGTAGGGAATAAGGGAATATACTCCTTTTATAAGCCCTATAGAATAGTTTCGAATATATTCTTGATGTCCTACTAACCCCCAGCAAGAAAAGGACACAAGGAGGGCCTCGATGGCCGATGTTATCACTTACGCTGCGGCCACCAGCGCCTGCGAGAAGTCGGGGCAGTGGAGGCAAGCTTTGGGTGTGTTCCCTGGCAATATTATGGCACACAACATCTTACCGGGGATCAGTGGGCGGGGAGTATATACGGAGTACATTCCTTAGTTTCGTGCTTATCCCTAGTGAGTTATAGCACACAATGTTGCTAGAGTTGTCATGATGATCATACCGGTTCACAGCGAAGCAACAGCAACCGTTACACCAGGGGCTTTGCATCAAGTTAACAGCTCGTGGCAGCAAAGTTGGAGCAGCAACCCATAGCAATGGATGAACTGTGCTAAAAACTGGCAAACTACCCAGCACGGGCAAAATCTAGACCAGTCACGCTGCCAAGATTCCCGCGCGAAGAACTAAGCCGTCCTTGCCTGAAGAGCTGCTCCGTCCCCATCTCTGGAATGACAAAGGCTGGCTGATGTGGAGGCGGAGTGCCAAGCTGATGTCGTGGTGCAGCGGGGCTGCAACCCAAAACTTGCATTGTGGAGACGAAATTCGTTACTGAAGTTTTATGTATATGGTGTTTTCATTTCTGGTAGCCCCCACTATAGCCATAGCTAGTTGACTTACTGAGTTCCCGCGCTCTCCAAGTACAGGGGGCTTAGCGGATAAAATAATGTCCGTTGGAACGACGCGCAACGACGAGCTCTGTTTAAAGCTTCGTCTGTCGGTCTTGCCCACTACACGACTTGACCCTTCCAAACTTGAACGCGGTTGAGATCTGGTAAGGTTCGAGAATTGCACGGGTAACTACTAAAGGAACCCGGTCACACAGGGCAAGGTCTCGAGCTGGGCCACTTGTTGGTTCAAGAGTGGATGTGTGGACAGGTGCAGTAACTCAGTTCGCCCGCTCTCCATGAGCTTTACTCGCTGGCATATGTGGGTTAAAAGGGGCGCCAAAGAACACGACTTGTCAACCCAGGTATAGCGCGGCAGTCAGTGCCTGCGAGAAGGGGCAGCAATGGCAGCAGGGCCTAAGCGTGCTTGAACGCGCTGACAGAGGTAAATTTGTGAACACAGCGACCCAGATGCTATACTCTGGATTTTTAGGATTTCTGTTTTCTGGGCTCCAGCAAACCTCTATTGCCTGATGGGCAAAGTTGTCGCAGGGGTGTTCAGTGTAGCTGAGGTGATTTTCAACGCGTCTGTAAGCGCCTGCGAGAAGGGCAGGCAGTGGCGACCAACTCTGGCAATTGCCCAGCAGATGTACGACCAGGGGCTAGAAACTGACGTGATCCCGGGCCGTTGAACTCAATCATGTTTTACTTTTCGAGTCCAAGCCTTGCTTCCTCCATATAACCGCCAACACGTTTCTGCTTGCCTTCAGGGGTCATGATGCAGCCCAGGATTACGTACAACGCCACAATCTGCGCTTGTCAGCAAGCTATGGAATGGTACCAGGTGCTGCAACTCTTCTACCGGCTGTTCGAGGGGCGAGCAGCCAGTGCCTTTCCAAAAGTTCACTGCAAAGTTACTAGGGGCCAGCGTCGCAAAGTTATAGCCACTCCAAGCTTCAGGCACATCTCAATAGCCGCCCACTTGCCCTGTACCCGGTAGCCCTGACCCTCGAAGCAGCACCGCAGCACTTCCAGGATTTGCCTTGTTGGTATAGAGGTACCATATTTTACGTGGTGGTAAAGAGCAGCTGAGTTTTGAGGCAGCTAAGGTGTGATAGCATTCAGTAACGCAGTCGCTGCTTGCGACAAGCGAAAGCAGCGACCCATCCAGGACCTTTTCGCGAATTTGCAGGTGTTGCCAGGCGGCTCAGTGTAGTGCATTTTTGGTGTTGGGTTTGTCTTAAAGTACAGATGACCTCAAGACCCTAAACCCTGCTAAGCAGTGTAAATTTTCCAGTGGGTACGGAACGCCCAGGTTGGTTTCTGAGTCGCTGCAGGGGACAAAAAGTAGCCCAAGAACAGGCTGCTGAGACTTCCTACCTTCAGTAGTCCTTCTTGCCACAGCCAATATTTCCTGAGACGTACTCCATCTTCACATCACAATTCTTTCCTTTCAAATTCAGTATCACGCGGCGGCTGTTTTCTAGAAAGGTACAAGGACCTTCTTGTACCGACTGTCCATGTTGTGTGTGCGATGGCTTGCCCTCAAGTTTTTCAGCCCCAACACTGCGAGCATAACCATGGTAACCTCAATGCGGGTTGGGTCACCATTCCGAATTCAATTCAATGAAAAGAACCGAGAAGTGTGGTTTCCAAAACCCTTCCGCAACGCAAAGAGTGCTTGAGATGGTAAGGCGCAACGCCCCCATAAGGCGCAACAGCAAAAGAAACAATAAAGTACGCTTGGTAGCATCCTGGTTGATAGGATTCTCGGCCAAACCGATATGTTTTTTGGGCGAAGTCTCCTGCTCTTTCTTCTGGCTCGGCCTGTGGAATGGCTCAGCAAGTCCCGTAGCCTTTGGCGTCGCGTTGACAGCAATTGCGTGGGCCATGATGTCCTGCAGCCCGTCTAAACCCTTTAGTGCTGGGATTTTCACCATGGAGTCTCCAGACCCTGGGGTTGCCACATTGAAATGCAACTCCTTGATCGGGGCGTGCGCCAAGACCGGAAGCTTGGCATGAGATGTGGAGATTCGAGACTAACTAGACAAAGCCTACGCATTAAGGACATGTTTAGGAACCTTGGTCTTTGCACACGGCAGTTTCGCGTGACTACTGTGAAGGGTGCCTTTTCGCAGTTAAAGTAGTGCTTCGCATCCGACCATCACCCAAGAAGCGGAACCATTCCCGGAAAACAAAACCCATGGAAAAAATATTATTAGACCCAAGAAGGAAAGAGCACAATCTCGCCCTTCACTCCAGCCATGTTATGACCCAGGAAACTGGCAAGGGGCTTTGCAGATCCTGTCAGACATGGGCACGCACAGAGTGGAGGCGGATGCTGTTTCTTACAACTCCGCCATAAACGCCTGCATAAAAGGACGCCGCAAGCAGTGGGTCACTGGCTTGTTCGAACAGCTCCACGGTCATTCTTGAGGACGTTTTGCGTTTCTTGGCATAGCGCGGGTAGCACAGACAATACTATATGCAGAGGGTGCTGCCCCTGTATCAGGTTGTGCGAAGCAGAGATCTCACCTGATTTGGTGACCTACAACAGCTTAATTCGTGCATGTGGAGAGGAGTGGCAGAGAGCTTGTGCCTTGTTGCATGATCTTCGGACACGAAACTCGGTACACACGATGATGATCGGTTTGACTTTTTGGTTCATGGGTAAGGGTTCCTTATAACCAGGTAAAGGAGCCTGTTCTTCCGAGTGAAACAGAGACTAAGGAAACCTGAAGGCGGATCTTATCACCTACAGCTCAGCAATCAGCAGTTGCGAGAAGCAAGGGCACTGGGAACCAGTACTGAAGCTTCTGGCCGAAATAGCTGCAAACCAAATGCAGATGGATTCAATCTGTTGCAACTCCGTCATAAGCGCGTGTGCGAAGGGATCAGGGTGGTGGCAGGCTACGTCGCTGCTGACTGAGTTTCTGCAGGCGAACCTGCGTGGAGATGTCATTGCCTACAACGCAGCGGCCAATGGGCTCAGCAGGGGCGGAGAATGGGCGCTGGCCCGCAGATTGCTTGCTCGGCTCAAGGAGAGAAGCTTGCAACCCAACCTGGTGACCCACAATGCGGTCATCAGCGCTGCAGACACTGGATTTTTTGAGAAAACGTTCTAGGCACTAGACTAAAATCCTCCTTCTGAGATGTTACAAATGCTTGGTTCTGGGCGGATAGGAAAGTTCCAGTTCAGGAGAAGAGGATCTTGGATCCTTTTTTCATCAATATACACCGAAATGCTGTGCTCCAAGTCTAAATCAGCTGGGATAGCACCGCAAAGAGACAGAGACCGAAGCGCGAACTCTGACACACTTGCCCCTTTCTTCTTCAAGACGGAATTAATTAGACCTGAGACCTCGAACCTCAACAATGATACATGTACTAGAGATCTTGCTCCTGCCAGAAAGCTCCAACTTCAATCACGGGCACATACTAGATGCAGATCTGAGAGCTCTACTCTACCCCAACCACAAACCCAAATCCTGGCACGGTAATTGCCAATGCCTCAGTTGCTAAATCCCAATCTGTAAGCCGTCATACATGCACACATATCTATCGACATAGGTGATTCATTTAATATCTACGTACGTAGAAGCCCTAACTCCCTGATCCTCAACTTCAAGCACATGAACCCTAAACCCTCCTGATCCAGGAAAGGGCTGGCCAGTGGGCGGAGGCTTCGAATTTGCTTCAGCTCCTGGCCCCTTGGGGTAGAATTAAGGTTTGGGGTTCAGGGCTGTACGGTTTAGGGCCTGGAGGTAGAGTTCACAATTGTCAATGGAGGTACCTCAAGACTCTGTATTTTTTTGGGTGTTTGGTATATAGGGTGGTGCAAGATTTTTCTCCAGCCACATTATCATGTTCAAAGCTCAAAAGCCGGGGCTCAAACCTGTGGGTCTGAAAGAGTTGTTCAAGTCTTCTGAACGCTCTTGCATGGAATCCCTGCATAAGACCCAGAAACTTCATGACCCAACCCATAGGTACAGGGTTAGGGTTTAGGGCTTAGGACTACCTTGACGAGAAGTTAATCTCCTTCCCCCTAATGATAAGCCGCCCCCAGCCCCCGATTAACAACTCAGCTAGATCATACTGTTACCAAATGGCTGGAATATTTATACGGAGGGTATGGGATTCAATCCTAAAATCGTATATAGCTCTAGTTTCCAACTGTTGCATGCGATTTCAGATGTAATGTTGCACTTGGTTTAGTGTAGGGACCCTCTTTAAAGTGTTTTCGCCGCCGCTTATTCAGGACATGGCCAATGCTTGGGTGACCCTCTTTAATGTGTTTTGTTTTTGGGGCCCTAAAAATACGGGACCGAATCCAGACCATCCCTTTTAAAGTAATCCCCAA